TGCTGCTGCTTGCGACATTTTTCCTCCTTTACAAGCAGCAACAGCTTCTTCCAAACGAGATTTTTTTAATTCTTCATTTTCTGTCTTACGTTTCTTCCAAAATGAGAGTGGAAGTTTTCCTTCATCTACCAATCGCGCCTTATCTCTAAATAAAGTAGTCTTTGGAATCTAAAAATATAATTATTGTTCTCAAAAAATTTAAATAAAATTAAAGTGAATGATCAAAATTATTCATAAAAATTCATTTAAATTTACTTTAAATTCAAGTGCAACTTTTGTTAAATTTTCTCCTCTTTCTAAAGCCTTAACTGCAGCTTCCCGTTTATCCGATCCATAAGATCTTTTCATTTCTGAACGTAATATTTGATATCCTTCCTTTTGAATACGCCTCCACAATACAGTCTTTGGTATACTAAACATCTCTGATGCATGTTGTAGGCTTGATCCACCTATAATGACAATGAATTAAATTGACTAATATAATACAATTAATATTTAATTAAACATAAAACAAATACCAACCAATTACCGCATTTATAGCAGCTTTCATACATTCTGCCGGATATTCATTTCTTGATGCGTTTAAATGAATACCTAATGCTTTAGCACGCATATACAAAGTTGAACGTGGTATGTTATGTTTAGTAGAAGCTTCTATTAATGTTTGGCCTGCCTTTAAATCATTAATTGCTGATGCCAACATATCATCACTATAATCTCTTTTTGTTGCATCGCGTCTACGTTTCTTTTTTTTATTCAATGTGGAATTTTCAGTAATTTCATATTTTTGTTGATTCTCTAAATTTTCATAATCATGTTGTAATGAATTAATAACTTTTTCTTCAGCCTCACTAATTACAGTTATTGATTCTTCATTATTATCATTAAAATCTTTATTATTCACAATAGAATCAGTTTCTTCAAGCCCATCAATCTACAATCATAAGAAATATTAAAATTAGAAAAAAAATAATTCTATTTGACATTTTTTTAAATAATATAACCAACTTCAATAAGACCACAGATTTTCAATGAACGAGCTGCATCTAATAAACTATTAATATTCTCAACTGGAACTCGTACTTCTCCATGATAAGTAAATTCTATAATAGATTTTATATCTTGAGCAGATATATCACTTAATATTATTGTTGGGTGATCTTCATTTACTTGACTCAATATTTCCTAAATAATAAAATTTATAAATCATATGAAATATTATATAGATATTTAATTTATAAAACAAAATATATATTTCTTAAACAAAAAAAAAATAATTTATATTTATAGAAATATTTTGAACATATAATTTTTAATAAATAACTTTTTAATATAGATTATTAAAATTTGTAAAAAAAATAAATCAAATAATTTAAACTTTAATTATTATATTATTTAAAAATGTTTGAAAATAATCATAAAATAAAAATTTAAAAAAAAATATTTAAATTTATAAAATTTATAAATTCAAAACTAAAAGAAAACTACAAAGAATTTCTAAAAACACAAAAATTGTTTACTCGAAATAAAGTACTACAAGCACAAAGAACTATACGATGTGCATGAATACGTTCCCCAGCAGCAGCCAGGGTAACATCCACCATACAATCTTCCTCTAAAAGTTGTCTAACTACATCAGAAAGATGATTTTGATAATCATTCCATTTAAACCAATAACTTTGATTGATTTCATGTTGGTTAGCAATTTCAGACATGCCGTTTCAGTTTCGTTTCCTTTTTCAGTTTCAATAACCCGTATACGACCGGAATTTGGAACAGGACTGAACTCTTCAACAACTAAAAAGATACAATTTGTTTATAATATTTTTTAAAAATTGTAATAAATTTGATAATCTTTTATAATTGTTTATTGTAACAAATATTTTTAGACTATTCTATATGTATTATATCATTAAACAAACTTTCACTTAAAAATTAGATAACAATAGATACTTATACTATATATAAGATATTGTCACTTAAAAATATATTACGATTGGTTAATATAGAATCTATATGAAATTTCATGATAAAATAATTTTTACATTTTAAAATTAAAAAATATAAAAATTAAAAATAGAAAAATTTTTTAAAATTTTTTAAGTAACAATTAATTATATTTGTAATCATAAATATTTAAATTTAATTATAATTTAATTTTCATATATATGTAATATTTATAGTATATATGTTGGTATAAATATATAAACAGATAATTGATTTCTTGTGTAAATGTTAAAATCTTGATAAATTTATGTCACAGACAAGAAATAGAATAACCATAAACGAAATATAATATAGATCGGATACCTAATAAATTTTTGTTTTATATATTTACATCTATTTAAAATAAAAAGAAACAATCTACTGAGTAACAAGAATTATAATTAAATTTAGTAATTTTTATACAATATAACTCAGGCGAAATGTAAGTATAAAAAAGTACAAAAAAGTATATATGAGATAAAATGTAAAAAAGACATAATATATAATGTTTTTTCGTATCAGAAATTTAGGAATCCTTCTCATCTAATTTTATTTTCGTGTTACATGCGATGTTGTTGGTTCAATATAGAAAACAATTATAATATTAATAATAATTGAAATTAGAATCTAATTTTATTATAAAAACTATATATAAATAAGATATAGATCAAAATAGCTTATAATAAAAGTATAGAAATCTATATTTTTCGATTTAATCATCCTTAAATAATAAAAATAACGTTTTGAGAAGATTGATAAAAGAACTAATTAATTCAATGAATTAATTTATATTGTTTAAACAAATGAAGATAGAACTTACATCGCTTACAATTAGACTGGATGACGCGACATAGGTATAGAATGGCAGTAGTAATGTGACATCATTCAAAAAAAAAATCTTGCAGTATTCTTGTATGCATATAAGATGACTATGAAATAATTAATTAATAAGGTAATTCTGAATTCTAATTTTTATGAACATATGAATAAATTTGATGAATTTATAGATTAATCATTCTCTCGATCAATTTCAATGATTTTTAAATATATTATAGAAATCATCATTTTGAACAATTTTTTTTTTTCATGAAAATATCGAAATTATTTGTTTTATATTCGTAAAAAATTAATTACTAATTACTATTACAGTGAATTTTGCCTATATTTATGGTGACAGTGATCGTTTATCAATTGTTTATAATTTATATGTTTAAATAGATCATAGCGCGGCAGCTAATATTTAAAATATAACATTGATGAATTGATGTGATGCAATATTTATTCGATATATAATATATATAAATATTATAGCGAATTTGGACATTTATATAGATTTATAGATTTTTTGAACCGTTCCAATTTATGGAATGAGAAAATAAAATATAGAATAATTTTTGAACAATCTAAATTACAATAACCGAAATTGTAATAATAATATCTATCATTATAACTTTGATCATTATAATTTCAGTTTTCAAATTGTTTTATATTTTAATTTCATATTTCGCGGATAACAACTATAGAAATTCTTGAAGTATAAATTTTCGATTGAGTTATAATATGCCTTACAATTCATTATGACAATAATTAAAATCGTGCTAAAGTTTCCAAAATACAGTAATAAGATATTTATTAGAATGATTAGAAATTGAAAAATTTAATTGCTACATTTATTTCTCAGCACGTTTATATTTTCTTATCAGCATTTTAAATCCTGATTTTCTCTTTCATTTATCCTTATTTTTATTATTATTCTTTTCTATTTTTCACAAAATTTATCTAGAAAATTTTGAATTCTAATTAAATTATAAGAATTAAAATTTATTATCTTTTTTTAATAATTTCGAAATCAAAATTTTGAAATCAAATTTTTTGCAATTAATCATAAATTCATTAACTATATTTATATTATAATAAAATAAAAAATTCTTTTTTTATAAATTAAAATGAAAATTTATTGATTTTTATTCTATGATATTCTATATAATAATTTTGAAAATCGATATAATTTTAAAAGTTGCTTAGAATAGCAAAATTATATTTCATGATACATTTCATTTTCGAAATTATTATAATTTAGTTAGTATTCTTTGAATTTGTTTTAAAACAAACAAATTATTCATCCGTAAAAATTAAATGATTATGATGATTCAATTTTTTTATAAAATGTATATAAAATTATTGTATGGATTATGAGAAAAATAAATCAAATAATTGATGTGACTTTATTAAAATTAATATTAGATTATATTTATATTTAAATTATATATATAAATTATATATATATATATATATATATAATATATATTTTATATATATTTATATAATATATTTTTTATTTATATATATATTTTTTTTTATAATATATATATATTTATAATTATAATATATATATACTTTATCCAAAAATATATGAAGAAATATAAATATATATTTGATAATCTATAATATAAAAAAAATAAAAAAAAATGCTTATTGGTATATTAGTTTTATTATTCATAAAATTCATTCTTTTGTAACAATTAGTTGTTTCAATAAGTCAATGTAGATATCTACAATTGAATATTGATCAAATCGAAAAATATATTATATTATAAATATAAATTTCTATACTTTGTTTTTTATAAGCTATATTAATTTATTCCTTGCTTATAATTTTTATAATAAAATTACATTTTAATTCCAACTATTATTAATTTTATAATTATTAATTTTATAATTTATATTAAACCGATATATGTTATATGAAAATGGTAAGGTTAGATAAGCTTCGAATTTTAAAAATCAAAAAAACATTATATCAAAATATCAAAGATCGATATTTTATGTCTTTATATTTTTTACTTTTAGAAATAAAAAATACAAAAATGTTGCATTCAATTCTTCTTATAATTTTTCTTATATCGATAGTGCTATTATTTTATTCCATTCAGAATTAATAATATCTCATATATGTATAATAATATAGATAATCCCTAAACTAGAAAACAAAAATGAAATGATAGGTCTATTCTATATTTTGCTGTAGTCTGTGTTCATGTGCTTTTTGTATTAAGAGAATTTTGTGGTTGCTTTGGAATAACGGAGTGTTTTCTAACTTTTTAATCAATTTATTTAATCATTTATTTTGAAATAAGAAAATGGTTAGTTATTCTAAATATATCATATATTTTAAATATTAAGTTTTATTAGTAATTCTATGTATATTTTTGATAATATATTTAAACATGTGACAGCATAACCTTAATGACATTACTATGTTAAAAACATAAAAATATATCATGAATTCAGTTTTGAAAACTTGTGTGCTTTTTTCAATAATTTATCAATAATTTTAATTTTTTTTGTAATACTTAATACAATAATTTAAATTAATTTAAAATTAAATATTTTTTCGTGGTATTTTGTGGTTATGTTATTCCATATAAAATTTGGTAATGATAATTTTTAGATAAATTTATTTAAAAAAAAGATATATCATATATAAAATATATTTAAAAATAATAAATTAATTACTTTATTGTAGAAACCCTTAATGTTACATGGGCACGAACGTGCAATAACACAAATCAAATATAATAGAGAAGGAGATTTATTATTCTCTTCTAGCAAAGATAAAAAGCCAAATGTTTGGTATTCTTTGAATGGAGAACGTCTTGGAAGTTTTAATGGGCATAATGGTTCTGTATGGTGTATTGATGTTAATTGGGATACAACAAGATTTTTATCTGGAAGTGGTGATAATACATTAAGAGTTTGGGACTGTCAAACTGGTTTGCATTTTATTTTATTTGTCTATTTTATGCATCATATCATTTATATATAAAATATTTAATATATTATAGGAAAAGAAATAGGTTTACTTCATACAAACAGTTCAGTGAGGACATGTAGCTTTAGTTACTCAGCAAATCTTGCTGTTTATTCAACAGATAAAGCTTTAGGACATCAATGTGAAATGTTTATTATGGATATTAAAAATGTTGATGCAGTTTTATCACAAGCAGATGCAATTTCTAGAATTGCTGTGAATGGGCCTAGAATTTCTGCTATATTATGGGGTGCATTAGATGAAACAATTATTACTGGCCATGAAGATGGTGAAATCACTCTTTGGGATGTTAGGGTATATAATATATGTGTATTATTATTATATGATCATATAAAGATTAAATATTTAAAACTTCTGATAATTATATTTTTTTTATAGACAAGAAAAAAATTGACAAGTGTTAAAGGTCATAAATCACAAATAAATGATATGCAATTCAACAAGGATGGTACTATGTTTGTAACTGCATCAAAAGATAATACTGCCAAATTATTTGATAGTGAATCATTAATGTTATTGAAAACATACAAAACAGAAAGACCTGTTAATTCTGCTACAATTTCTCCAATTTTTGATCATGTATGTATAAGATATTTGTGATGTATTTATCAAAATTTATAAAAAATTTATGTTTATAGGTCGTTCTTGGAGGAGGTCAAGATGCTATGGATGTCACAACAACATCAACTCGTCAAGGAAAATTCGATTCTCGATTTTTCCATTTAGTATTTGAAGAAGAATTTGCACGTTTAAAAGGACACTTTGGTCCAATTAATTCTTTAGCATTTCATCCTAATGGTCGAAGTTTTTCAACGGGTGGGGAAGACGGTTATGTTCGTATTAATACATTTGACCAATCTTACTTTGACTTCCATTTTGAATATTAATTTTACGAAATAAAAGAAAATATATGTCAATCAAATAATGGTATAAATTATTTTTATCCAATTTTTAAAACTTTTTGATTTTAAAATATTCATATTTAATTTAAAATTAATATAAAATTAAAATTAATAATTCATATTTAATATATTAAAATTAAAGATTTACTCCATTACTTAAATTTATTGTTCATTTGTATAAAAAAAAATTAATACATTATATTTGTAAAAATAATATCGAAACTAATATTACTAATAGAATAGTTTTAAATATTTAAGATGAATTATATTGAATATAAGTATATGTTTTTTAATATTTTCAATATTTAAAAAAATATTAATTTTTATATTTGAAATTCATTTTCAATAAATATCGCGCTTTTACTTGAGCAACATCATATACAATATATTCATTGTATAATAAGTCTGATTTTTTTGGTAATTTAACAGACACAGAAACACCATATGGAACTTCAACACCATCTTTCATTTTATAAACATTTTCAGGATCGGGTTGTGTCTGACCACGACCCCATGTTGAATGTTTACCATTCGGTAACTTCTCAATACAATCTGCATGATATCTCTCATACATATTACCTAATGCCACTTCACAAAGCAATAACAATCCTGTAGGATTTTCACTATTTGTACAACAATAATTTGCAGATTTAGAAACCATATCTGCGAAGTATATACCTTTACCAAACATATAACCAGTAACAGGAGCTTCTGGTGGAGCTATTCTTAAACCCTGAGAAAGTATACCAGCAAAATTAGTTGTTCTAGAACCATGCCAAAGTAACTTCTTATTATGTAGTTTCTTGAATGGTTTATATCTACTATCTTCGCCTTGTCTTTTAATAATAAATATATCTTCAATTTCAAGTTCATATTGTGTATGAGTCTTTGCATGAGTATTTTCTACATATTGTTTAATAACTTTATACTCTTCATTTTCTTTATCCAATATTTTAATTTCAGTATTTAATTGTTTATAATGAGCATCAAGTGGATTCTTTGTTGTATCTGTTTTAGCATACAAAAGTGAATAAGCAATCTCCATTTCAAGTAATGCATCTAACATTTCACATTTAGAATGAATTTCTTCCATTGTATTTAAAATTTTAGGTTCGGATATTCCGAAATTATGAGGTATTAAGTTATAAAATCTATTAGATGCATCAACCAATTGAACTGAATCAAAATCTTTTTTTTTTAGTACTTCTTGTAGATCTTTTAATACTGAATATGCTTTTTGAATTTGTTTTTTAGACAATTTCCCAAGTGGCATTTTTTCTATATCAATTTCAAATTCTACCATTGCTTTTCTCATGTTTGCTTCATTAAAAATTAGTTTCATTAAATCTTGAATTGGTGGTTCTAATTCACTTTTAATATCAGATTCTAATATTTTTGTTGACATTTCATCTCCATAATCAATATCAACTGGATACATTTTATGAGGTACTTTAACAAAATATTCTCTTTGACTCCAGCAATTTCCACTTTTTTCTTCATATAATGATTCAAATTGTTGTATACATTCTTCTAAGGCTAAATTATCTAATTTTGAACCACCAATAGTTGTTCCTATTCTACCCCAACTTCTAAATAACCAATACTGATTTTTTTTATCATGTTTTAAAATTTGTAACTTATAAAAGCTATTTTTTTTAGTTTGTATATCTGAAAGTATCAATGTAACTGTATATTTATTTTTACCCTCTTGATATACATGTGCAGAATCTTGTAAACCACTAAGTGGATCAACAGTTTCACCTTTTTTTAATTGTAATTTCATTTTACCAGATCCTGACTTTTCATATATACTTTTACCTTTACTTTTTGAAACACTAGATTTTTCTGCAATAACATTAATTCTATCAGATAAATTACCACCCCAACTTGAAATAGTTTTTTTTTTAATGAGTGATATAGCAGATTTCGTATATTCTTTAGCTTCCTCAACAAAATCTTCAGTAATTATTTGAATATTAAAATTTTTAGCTTCTTCCATCTTTTTACTCATTTTATCTATTTCATGTTGTGTTGATATAACAGCAGTCACATGTTCATGAAGTTTTGATATTACATCTCCACCTAAATGCAAAATTTCTTTTTTCAAAATATCTTTATGTTTTTCTGTATGACCTATAATAACAAATTGCATATGCTTTAATGGTCTAGGTTTTGCATCAACTTTGAGTCCAGAATCAATTTCATCTTCTTTTTTTATTAAACTAGATGTTGAGGGTATAGACATCTTTATAAGTCGTTTTTTAACTTTGCATTTCAAAGATTTGCTATTAAATATTTAAATAGTCTTTAACTTCATTATATATGTATATGTTAATTTGTGAAAATAATTTTACAAAAATACTTACAGACTTGGATATGATTCTTTTAAATCTGATGATATTATGAATTTTTTTCTTTTAGGATCTTGCGTGATATTTTCACATTTAGTCCATTCTGTTAAATCTCCAGTACATTTGTATCCAATGCCAGAATGATATACAAATTGTCCACTACATTTTGGACATGGCTTTAAAGCTCCAAAATAAATAGCATCTGATAAACGATCTATTATCTATAATAAAAAGTTATTTTATCAAATATTTTAGAAACTTATTTTATTGAATAATATTTATTTATTAATGTTTATTTACTTATAGTTGAAACCAAACTTATTAATAAAACACATACTGTAGATACACCTTCTGGAATTTGTTGTTCATTTTTTTCCAACATAGCAATTAGATCAGATTTTTTTATAGAAGATAATATATCTTTAATTGAAAATAATTCATCATTTTGTTTTTTCATTTCTTCCTCTTCTTTTACATCTATTGGTTCATCTTTAATTTTTTTAATTGGTGGAGCATCATCTGATTTAATCTTTGGTAAAGCATCTTTAAGCTTTTTTTGATCCTCTTTGGAAAGATCTTCTTTGCCAGGAAGTGTATCACCACTCTCATAAAATTGTAAACTTTCTCTTACTTTGATAAAGCAGTCAAGATGATGCCATCTATCTATACCACCATATCTTCTAGCTTGTTCACTTTCAAAATCTTTCTTTGATATCCTAATTTCTCCTTGTACTATTCTTTCCTCACAAGCTTTACATGTTGATTTATTAGATTTTGCATATTGAACTACAAAATCACGTAATGGACCTATATTTTTAGCTGAAGTACTTCCACGTTTTTTTCCTCTTCCAGATGCAGGTAATGGAAGGTTAATCGATTCCTCTATAAAAATTTATAAGAAATTTTCATACAATATTATTATAATAATTTTCATATAATTATATTATATGTAATTTATAATGTTATTATTAAGCAAACCAATTTTCTTTTGAAGTTCTTTTTGATCTTCCCAACGAATATTATCAAAATTAGCAATATCTGCAGTAGTTTTTGGTCTTTGTTTTGTAAAAAAACAAGGTGGATGATACCAATTTGGTATCTTTCCATCATGAACAGGACTCTAAAAATCAAAAGACATGACTTGATATTTTTTAAATGTAATAATTTTTCAAAAACATTATTCAAAATATACATAAATTCAATCATATCATGAAAAGTAATTCTAGTAAATTTTTATAATTTTATTATAATGAAATATAAAAAAAAATTTATAAAAATAAATCTATCTTCATAAATTTTTTATTTTGAACTATATTATTATTACATTATATAATGTTATTGATGAAATTATGTAATAATTGAAAATAATATATTAACAATTTATATTAATAATTAATAGCAGTTATAAGGTATAAATTCATATTAATATTAATATTCTCGATATTATGTACCTGAATAATAACAGCAAGTCTTAAGGAATCTTTCTGAATAGAATTCTTACAATTTTTACAAGAAGATCGTGAACTTTTTGCGTATTCAACAGAATAAGGTAAATCAACATTCATTGTTACGTTATATTTCGTTCAATAATCTTACTTTAAAACGGAATATCACATTAGAAGTAGTACATTCAATGAATATAGATAAAATGTATGTTGCCCGCCAAATTGATACATTTAGAACCTTAATTTATTTTCTTTTTTTATTACTACTTATTTTAAATAATAATTTTACGATCTACAATAAAAGAAATTTATAATAATGATTAATATAATTTTATTTATTTAAATTGTCTATAGTTAAATTTCAAAAATATATCTTCGATATTTATATACAAATTGATGGCCAATCGAATTTAAACCGGAAATAAAATACTATTTACTATGAATTTTAGAACTTACCTTAATTATAATTTTACTGTTTGAACATCGTAGTTTTATAAAAAAAATTATGATCTCTAAATATTTTTTTTAATATAATTTGAAAATTTTTTTTACAAAAATATATTTTTTAATTTTTTACAATTTATATTCAAACTGATAATTAAAACGTATATTTATTTCAATATATTATATAAAAATATATTTATTTTAACGTAGTACAAGTAAAAAATATTTTTTAAAATATAATTATTTTTCTATATGTACTAATTCATTATTATATTATATTATATTTTATATATATGTATATATTATTTGTTCATTTTATAAGCAATACATTATTTAAATATGCATTCATAAATAAATTCATTAAAATACATAAAATATTTAAAATAAATTTACATGCAAATACAAGTATATTTTATTGCAAGTATAATCTAAAATATATTATAAATAAACTACAAATTGTAATACAATGTTGGTATACTTTATTTTTATAATCATATAATATTGTACAAATTATTACAGTAAAGTATATATTTCTGTAATTACGACTATGAATGTTTTTCTGTTTTACCAACATATTTTGCCATAAAAGTGGCTGGCAAATGGTAGTAGAATTAAATAATACAACCATACAATGTAAAAATGCACTATGTTATTTTCTTTGTTGAATGCAAATTTTTCCTCTAAAATTATTTCCTACGATAACGTACAAAACTTATTAAGGAAAAATCGAAATTATTAAATTAAATCTGTTACTTCTTTCGACTATCTACATAT